AAAATAAATAAACGTTGAAAAAAAAAATAAAAAAAAAATAAAGTGAGAAGTTCAGAGTAGTGTTTGTTCATTTAAGAATATTCTTTGAGCACTTAGGGCTCCTGGGTGGCTCAGTCAGGTAAGTGTCTAACTCTTGATTTCGGCTCAGGTAATGATCCCAGCATCATGGGATCAAGTCCCGCGTGGGGCTCCATGCTAAGCGTGGAATCTGCTTAAGACTCTCTCTCTCCTGGGGTGCCTGGGGGCTTACTGGGTTAAGTGTCTGACTCTTGATTTCAGCTCAGGTCATGGTCTCACAGGCTCATGAGAGCCCAAGCTGAGCTCTGCACTGACAGCATTGGACCCTGCTGGGTATCCTCTCTCTCCCTCTCTCTCTGCCCCTCCCCCATGCTCACTCTCAAAATTAATAAATAAACATTAAAAAATAAAAGATTCCCTCTCTCCCTCTGCCCCTCCCCTTCTCTCTCTCTCTCAAAAAAAATATTCTTTGAGCATTTAAATTCCAGACAATGTTGTTATACCACATCCTATGAAATAAGGCTCTTCCTATGAGATTATGTACATGAAGAGTGCTTTTGAAGGGTAAATCATTTTTATTGCCTCTACTATATTTATACTGTCTCTATATAAGTTAAATATATATTTATATATAGTTTATATATATAGTTTATATATAACTATATATGGTTATTATATATTTATATATAGTTTATATATATAGTTTATATATATATTTATATATAGTTTATATATATATATAGTTTATATTGTCTCTACTATATATACACAATGCCTCAAGAAGAGATATTTACAGTATTACTATCTCCAGAAAAACCTGATGATAAATTTCAGTTATGATAAAATTAAATTTACTTATAAATACTCAAATTTATATTTAAATTATATTCCCTTAAATATAAATTATAAGTAAAATAACAAAACTAAAAACCATTATTAAGTAAAAACAAAAATATACCTATAATTTATTATGCCCCCATGAACTGCCAAGCACTGAGGCAAGCCCTTTTCATGTATTAATTTGTATAACTATCCTGTGAAAAAGGCAGCATCATCCCATTGAACAGATAAGAAAACAGGCTTAAACAGGTAAACTACTGAATCAGTGGCACACAGTTTATGAGTAACTCAGCTAGGATTCTTAGTATCCCGAGAGGGCCGAAGACAGTAAGGTCTAGGGCCATTCCTGATTTCCACAAGGAGCGAGAAGACTGCAATATCATCTGACTGTGCTACCAAGAATCCAGCCGCTAAAAGTTGACATCATCCATTTAATTCTTTGTGCTTATTGAAAACTACTGGACACTGAGGGGAGTAACGGAAATGACTCAGGGCGGTCTCACTTCTTAGTGGAGGTCAAGATGTGATAAGTGCTACTGACTTACATAAAATCTGGTAAAGAAACAAAGACATGTCATAAAAGAGTAACAAATCAATTACGATGTTTAATCATTAGGGCTTTAGTTAATCACAGTGCACACACTAATTTACGATAAAAGGAACGTTCAGTGAAAAGAATTTTTTAAATGGCTGCTCCCCGCTCCCAAGTACTCACGTAAGAGTTGAAGACTTTTTGGGAAAATGATCTTCTGTGATATTTTTCTTAATTCTAAAAAACAACAGAAAACGATTTCTAAACGGCATGGACCAATAACATAATTTAATGTAAATTTCTAGGGGATTGGTGATTGTGGCTTTGAACGTATGTTGACGAGGATCAGCAGCACGAGTGTGCCAGTGCCCGTGACAGGCCGGGAGGAGCTGTGCTGTGACTCTTGGCTGAGTCAAACCTTGTTGTGGGGTGAGTGTGTGTCCCCCTAAAATCCGTGCGTGGAACTCCTAACCCCCAATGTGATGCTCTCAGAAGAAGGGGTCTTTGGGAGGTAATTAGGTTTATCTGAGGTCATGAGGGTGGGGCCCCCATAAATGGATTAGTGTCCTTTTTAAAAAGAGGAAGAGGGGGGCGCCTGGGTGGCGCAGTCGGTTAAGCGTCCG